GCAGCTCTTATAAATACGACAAACATGTCCAAGGTCATAAAGAAAATCAAATATGAGGGTCAGCAGGTGGCAGGGTGGTTAAAGCGCTGGACTCCCACAGGCCTACTGAGTCCTGAACCTGGCAACATGACAGTCACACCAGGTGTATACGTGCATGCCCAAAATCGCAGCAGGAGAAGGGATTGCAGTGTGGCCATCCCCCCTGGGGGGTGATTTCTAACTGTCCCTCTCACTGTGTCTTTTTGTCTCTCCTTGGCAAGTGCATGTTCCCTACGGCAAAAGCCTTTAAAAAAAGAACAAGAAAAATAAATAAAAGTAAGAGCAGAATGGAATATTTCAAAGACCTAGCAACATCTACCTACCTGTTCTGGGCTCCATTCTGCCTGCTGGCTCAGAGAAGCCACAGTGTCTATGGAGCTGAGATCCAGCTGCTCCAGCTCACTCTCACTCAGGGCCAGGGCGATGCGTCCCAGGGAGACAATCTGGTGTTCCCTCCAGAAAGAAGGCATGTCCCAAACCTTTAGTTGGGAAGAAAGCAGATCACACTGAACATTTCTGACAGTCTTTGCTGTGGTTTGAATGCGTTCCCCAGAATTCATATCCCCACTGTGATATTAGAAGGTGGGACCCTAGAAAGGTGACTAGATTATGAGAGCTCTGCTCTCATGGATGGGATCTATGCCCTTATAAAGAGGCTGCAGAGAGCTACCTAGCCCCGTTTCACTACGGGAGGACACAGCCGCAAAGTGCAGTCCATGAGAAACAGCCCTGCCAGACACTGAGTACACCCGCACCTTGATCTTGGTCTTCCCATTTCCAGTAATACTAGTGTTTGCAAGTTACCCAATATGTTTTTTCTTATAACAGCCCAAACAAGACAATATGATATTTAAAACAGATATAGCAGTTCGAGTCCTAGACATGGTGGCTTGATTTCTTACTCTTTCTCTTTCTCGCTCTCATCAAATTAAAAAATAACAATAATAAACAAAATTAAACAAATACTTAAAAAAAATAAAAAGATATAGCATGCATCTCCTTAATAGATAAATCTGTCTCCTAAATCAAAAGACTCATTCTTGGGACCAGCAGTTGGTGTAATGGCTATGTCTCTGGACTCTCATGTAGTCGACTGCAGTTCAAGTCCTGGACCTGGTGGCTTAAACTCACGCCGGGCGCATGTGCATGTGTGCCCAAGATCCTGAGAGGAGAATGGAGGAGAAGGGATTGCAGCGTGGACATCCCCCCGAGGGATGATTTCTCACTTTCTGTCTCTATGTCTCTCTCTGTCTTTCTGGTGAGTGCACACACCCTATAGCAAAAGCTTCTCAAAAAATAAAAACTTCATTCTCGATCATAATGAAAGAAATGTACATAAAATAATTAAGACTGGGATAGCCAGGAATGGTGGTTGGGGTGGCTGAATCCTGCATGGCCAATTTTACAGTTTGAGTCCCAGACCCAGCAGTTTGAGAAACACACTGGGCACATGTGTGTGAGAGCCCAAAATTCTGCGTGGAGCGAGAAATGGAGGAGGGCTTGTGGGGTGACCATCTCCCATGAGGGGCAGGCTCTTTCTCTCTGTCTCTCTCTCCACTGGGTATACATGTCCTCTGAGGAATAAAATAAAATAAAATAAAATAAGATCATGTTGGCTTGTCATATTGACAAAGAGTGAAAAGAATGACCATTTATGATGTTGAAAAGATATGAAGTGGGTCAGCAGATGGCATGGAAGTTTAGGCAGCTGGATCCCACATGACCAATTGAGTGGTTTGTGTCCTGGGCCCAGTGGCTTGAAAATCACACTGGGCACATATGCGTACTTGCCCAAAATCCCAGGAGGAGAATGTAGGAGAAAGGATTGTGGCACAACCATTTCCCCTGGGGAGTGATTTCTCACTTTCTCTCTCTCTTTCTCTCTCTCCATCTTACTCTGGTAAATGCATGCACCTATACCAAACTAAAAAAAAAAAAAAAAAAGCTACAAGATAAAGCATAAACCTCTTCTATTGTTGCTGAGGATACAGGTTAGTGCATGTTTTGAGAAGGCAATTTGGCTACATGTATCAAAAGGTTTTAAAATATTTATACTCTTTGACCCAGAAATTTCACCTCTGAGAAGTCAGACAAGTGTTTGAAACAGTAGGTGGTGTGGTAGTTAGAGCACTGGATTCCCACAAGACTGACCACAGTTCAAGTCTCGGACCTGGCAGCTTGCTTTCTCACTTTACCTCCTCCTCTGTGTGTGTGTGTCTCCCAGGTGAGTGCACATGCCCATAGCAAGTTTTAAAATAATAACAATACTTTTTTTAATTAAATCTTTTGAAAAAAGTGTTCAAAGATATTTGTATGAAGATGTACCTTCCCCCCCCCCTTTGGAGAGTTTTTTCTTGTTTTTTTGTTGTTGTTGTTTTGTTTTTTGTTTGTTTGTTTGTTTTGCTATAGGGCACATGCACTCACAGGAGAGACAGACAGAAAGCAAGAAATCACCGCCCCCCCACCCCTGAGGGCTTGACCACACCGCAATCCCTTCTCCATCCTCCTCCTGGGACCTTGGGCACACATACACATGCACCCGGTCTGTTTTAAGCCACTGGTCTGGGACTCAAACCACGGTTGGCCAAGTGAGAGCCCAATGATGTAACCGTTACACCATCTGCTGGTCCTCAAAGATGTACCTGAAGGCATTTTTTAAAAATACAAACTACCAGGACCAGCTGGTGGTATAGCGGTTAAGGCACTAGACTCCCACGAGGCTGACCACGGCTCGAGTCCCAGACCTGACAGATTGCTTTCTCACATTCCCTTTTCCCTCTTCTGTCTCTCTCTGGTCAAATAAATAATAATAACAAATTAAATAAAATAAATACATAATTCTTTTTAAAAAATACAAACTATCAGGACCAATAGATGGGGTAGTGGTTAACACACTGGACTCTCACATGGCCTACTGCAGTTTGAGTCCTGGGCCCAGTGGCTTGAAAATCACATCAGGCACATGGGTATGCATGCCCAAAGTCCCAGGAGGAGAATGGAAGAGAAGGGACTGTGGCATGACCATCCTCCCTGGAGGGTGATTTCTCACATTCCCTTTCACTGTCTCTGTCTCTCTCAAGTGAGCACACACTCCCCGTGGCAAAAACCTTTAAAAAAAAAATTCTAAAAGTCCAACAATTAGCTAAATAAAGGACCAGACATAAAATGAAATATTACATAGCCATTGTAAATACAGACATACGATTATACTTAGGATAATGGAAATACATACACTCTATAGTATCAGTTGTAGAGGGCAAGTTTTTCAATAGTAAGTGAGTGTGATACCATTTTCCGTATCATATATGTGTGAAAATAGATGAAACAAATGTAGAAAACATAGAGTTTATATCATATTATATTATATAAATATATTTTATATTTAATATATAATATGTAACTATACTTATTAAAATATACCATTATATTTTATACATATACACAGAAGTCTTGGAAGCTTATCTCTAGATAAGAATTGTGACTGCTTTTTCCTTTAATTTTTTTTACTTTTTCTACAATAAACTTATATTGCCTAAATTTTAAAAAAAGTTATAAATGCAATGTCAAGCAATTTCTTAACCCCATGAGGCTAATTAGATATTTCTCAACTATGTGAACAACTAAAACAAGCCACGCATAGGGAACTTTTTAAAGATGACAAACCGCTTTCTATCCTTGGTTTACCCCTTTCTGCTATGTTTTCAGATGAATTTGCAACAGACTCTGGGAAAACCTGCTGCGAGTAGCAGGTAGCATTCTGTTTTGGGGGGTGGAGGAAGAAAAGGAATGATTCCTGAAAACTCTCTTAACGAGAAGCATCGGAACATCCACAAAACTTGACCCACTGAGTGTCCACCAGACGCCAAGAGCATCTCATTTCATTCTCTGCCACTGTTATAACTGGGAGGAACTAGGATGTTCCTGTTTCTTTTTTTTTTTCTTAAAGAATTATTTTATTTAACTTTATTCATTATTAGTATCATTATTTTCCAATTTCATCAGAGAGAGAGAGAGAAAGCCAGCCACCAGGACACAAACTGTGGTCAGCCATGTGGAAGTCCAGCACCCTCAACTAAAAAAAAAAAAAAAAAAAAAAGAACGGAAGACTTCTTGAGGAGGCTCTGCATATAGAAAGGCTGGCGCTGGGTTGTGCTGTGTTGTGTTTGTTTCCCTCTGGTTAATGCTTTCCCCAAGGTGGGCATTACCTGTAGTGCCTTCTCCTTCAGGGCCATCAGCTGAGCCTGGCTGAACCCCCTGACCGCCCCCAGCCGCTCCACATTCCTGAGGAACGTGTCATCCTCCATGCAGAGCAGGTCCTCAGGGGCCCAGCAGGCATTGGCCTCGGCCAACCTGAAGATGTCGTCTGAAGAGGGAGCCACGACGCCATGGCAGCCTGAAGAATGGGGAGGGGCCAGGAAGGAATGAGGGAGAGAGCATCTAAGTTTGCAACCCAGCATGAAGGGTTCTGGAACTCTGAAGAAGAAGCCCTCTTATCCAATTGAGAGGATGACATGCTGTCCATAAACATCTGAGTGGGGGTTGTGGCCTCCCCATCCCACGAGAGGAGAGAAATGGGCCCATTCCCCTTTCCTTGGCAATGGGAGATACCCATCCGTTTCCGTCTTTGAAGAAGCTGAACCTTACCTGGTCAAACCAGTTACCCACCACCATGTAAATGAGATACTCGATGGTCTCTATGACCCTGAACTGCACAAATGGGGAGAAAATCCAAGGCTTCTGGATTTCCTGTCTAGGCAGCTGATCACCAGTGAGGCTGACAGACTCACCTCCCACCCAAGGCCAGGGCATTTCCTGAGCCTGAAGGCCACGTCTTCAAAGAAAATTCACTGGACTCCAAGCAAGAGGCAAAACTGGACCAGATCAAAGGTGCTAGTTTGGTCTTGAAACATCTTTATCACAATCTAAAAACCCCATCTCTCCTAGGTGCCACCCCACTTTCGAGTGAAAGTAGCATCAGTGAACACTCTGAATTGGAGAGAAACAGTGGCCCAGTACTGCCACAGGGACTTGGTCTTCCCTTGGCTTAGACTAGAGCGTGGCACATAGTAGGTGCTCAGCAAACCAATGAGTGAATGAATACACACACACAAATTAGCCAACATAAAACCACATGGTAATTCTGCTGGCTCGCTTATCACTCAAAGCACAGCAGCAATTCATGCCCAGAACCAGCCAAAGGAAACTGACCGCCCACCGGTGCCAGCATCCTCCCGCAGAGCGTGGAAGTCTGACGTGTGTGTGTTGCATGCACATGTAAGAGCATCCCAATTAGACCACTGGACTGCTAGGCTGTGGGGGCAGTAGAGCTAGTGGTGACCACCACCAGCTATGGGTACCAACCCAAGACCTGCCATTCACTGACCAACTTCCACCAAGTCCCAAATCTCCTAAATCCATTTCCTTCATTAAAGGAATGGGAGAAATCACAGCGCCTACCTCATAGGACAGAGTTGAGGATGAGGAGGTGCCTGGGAAAGCTCACTAAGGTAGGCATGAATCAGATCATGACACTTCTTTGCTCATTGCCCCATGACACCCTGCCCCAGGGTAAAAGCCATGGCCCCTGGGGTTGCCTTTATCAGGCTCCGCATGATTGGGGTCTCTGCCCCCGGCTTCCATTCCTTTCTCACTCCTGTGGCACTCCCTCTATATGAAGACTTTAACTCCAACCATCCACGTGCCCACTCCCACAGCAGATGCCACCTTTTCAATGTGACCTTCTTTCATGGTTCTTTTCACATTACAGTCCCACACCCAATACCTGCAGGCCCCCTCTCTTGCTTCCTTTTCCTTCTTGGCTCTTGTCATCATATAACATATTCTATATTTTACTCATAAGTGTAATTATGTCTGGCTATGCCCCATTAGTAAGTGAGTTCTGTGAGAGCAGGGACTTGTCCTTTGTTTTGTTTTGTTTTTGCTTCTTTCTTCCATGAGAGAGAGATAAGCAACCTCAACAGGGTCTCTCACAGCACGATTCGCCCACCCCTAGCCTTGCTTGGCCAGCCAGGATCACAGGCGTGCATACACATGCTGGCTCAACCTGGGAACCAACCCTGATCTTCCATGTGGCTTCCAGGGTTGCAGAGCATCTTGCTGCTGCAGCTCCACTGCTGGCCCGGCTGTTTGCTTCATGGAATCGGTGCTCAACCAATATGCATTGGATGAATGAAAGCAAGCACTGACCTTCAACTATTATTATTACAATTAGTACTAGGTCTGATTAAACTTGTCTCTGCATGGGACCAGCAGTTAGCGTAATGGCTATATCACTGGACTCTCACGTAGTCGACCGCGGTTCGAGTCCCGGACCCGGTGGCTTAAACTCACGCCAGGCGCATGTGCATGTGTGCCCAAGATCCCGAGAGGAGAACGTAGGAGAAGGGATTGCGACGTGGCCATCCCCCCTGGGGGGTGATTTCTCGCTTTCTGTCTCTCTGTCTCTCTCTGTCTGTCTGGCAAGCGCACGCACCCTATAGCAAAAACCTCTCAAAAAAAAAAAAATTTGTCTCTGCATGCCTGCACGCATCTGCACTCAGTAGCTGCACAGCAATGCCAGTAGAATGATCTAACACTTACTGAGCATTTTCTACATGCCGGGCACTGTTGTTTACACATTTACATGCTTAAAATCCTTTTTTTTTTCCTTAAGGGAGGGATTTTTGGGGCCGGCAGGTGGCATGGTGGTTAAGGGCGCTGGATTCCCACATGGCCAATCATGGTTCGAGTCCTGGACCTGGTGGTTTTCTTTCTCTCTCTCTCTCTTGCTCTGTCCCTCTCTGATCAAATCTTAAAATAAATAAATAAATAAAGTTAAATAAAATAATTTTTTTAAAAAAGAGGGATTTATGCTATAGGGCACATGCACTCACCACAGACAAAGAAAACAGAGAAACAGAAAGTGAGAAATCACTCCCCTACGGGGGATAGTCACATGCAATACCTTTTCCTCCATTCCTCCCTCAGGATTTGGGGCATATGTGAGTTTCAAGCTGCAATGTCCGGAACTTGAACTGTGTTTGGCCATGTGGGAGTCTACCACCATAACTACTACACCACCTGCTGGCCCCTGCATTTAAATCCCTTAATCCTCACAATAACCCAATGAGATAGGGGCTTTCTCTATCCCCATTTTACAGAGAATGAAAACTGAGGCACAGAGAGGTTCAAGAGCTTCCCCAAAAGTATATGACTTACCCAGTAAGTCACAGACTCAGGATTCCAACCCAGCCAGCCTGCCTGACCCTACCCCTGCCATATTTAACCACTGAGCATGTTATTCTTTAAATCAATTCTCTCTGAAGTTCTGTTACACATGGTCACCCCTTAAGTCTGTTGGCCTGGGTAGGGGCTGCAGGACCCTTGACCATTCTCATCACTCATACAGTGATTTGCAGTTGGCCCTGTGTGTCTTCCTCTGCTGCTTTGCAAACACTTCATGCGGTGCCTTGGACAAGGAGGCTATAGGTATCAGGGTTCAGTCCAAATCACTGCTACCCCAGCATGGGCTCAGACACCCCATAAACACTCACCAGGGATGGGGTCAGAGCTGAGGCTCTCGTCACTGCTGTTCCGAATAGATTCAAAGACAGCCCAGAGGAAGCCTTTAGGGAGCAGGGTCCCAGTCAACTTGGAAGCCGTTTGTTGAAGGATATCAGGAAACTGTATGGGTTAGAGAATATCAAAGAGAAACAGGTAACAATGAAAGCACATTAAATACAGTTTTAAATCAGAGCATAAACTATAAAATGACTTACTACCTCAAGTTTTTGTTTTGTCTTGTTTTGTATTCAAATAGGAACTTACCATATATATTTAATCCTTAGCCCAACTAATGTGGTCTCCATAAAGAATCCTAAACAATAATACTCATCCTCAGTAGTAATTCAGAAATGCTAACTAACACACGTACATGTCACTTTCATCCATTAGATCGCGAAAAATAAAATAAAGTGATAATACTTAATGCTGGTGAAGATGTACAAGACGCGCACTCTCATTTCTCTGTGGGACTGCTAACTGTTACATCGTTACCAGGGAAACCTGATCACAGCTACCAAAAATGTAGGTGGGTCTAACCTTCATTTGGGGTTGGTGCTAGTTTTAATCTTTTATTAAACTTTATAGTTATCATAAAAAGGAAGTGGCAAAGAGTTCTCTCTGGATTCTGGGTGGAAACTAGCTAAGAGGGGGCACTGGGCTGTCCTGGTTAAGGTGCCACTTCTCACCTAGACAAAAAGCATTTTCTCAGTTCTTGGGATAGTACTGAGAGCTCATGTCCAGGAGCCCAGAGGTTTGTTTGTTTTTTTTTTAATTTGTTGTAGAGCACACGCACTCACTAGAGAGAGAGAATGACAAAGCACTGTCCCAGGGCAGAGGGGGTGGCCATGCTGCAATCCCTTCTCCATTCTCCTCTCAGGATTTCGGGTATGCATGCACACATGCCCAGGTGTGTTTCCCAAGCCTCCCAGTTTGGAACTCAGCACAGTCAGCCTCCTCAAACACCACAAAACCAGCTGGCTCTAGAATTTTTTTTTTTTTTAATAGTGGACATGCGCACTTACCAAAGAGAGGCAAAAAGGGAGAATGCACCTCCCAGTGGTCAAGCTGCAATCCTTTCTCCTCCACTTCTCCATCCTTCTCTTAAAAAACAAGCTATTTTCATGTGTTTGGGGCACACACACACACACGTACCCAGTGTGTTCTTTAAGAGACCATGGCCGAGATTCAAACCACAGTGGACGTGTTGGATCTAGCTCCCTTAACCAGTAGGCTACCAGGCTGACCCAGGAGCCCAGAGAACTAACCAGACTCTCCATACAGCTCTGTGTCACTGTGCCCTCGCTCCCCAAAGAGAATGTGCCCCAGTTAATGAGGTTCCTCTCTGCATTCTAACCCTTGGAATTGGGGTCACAGTCTAAGCCAGCTGTTCTCAGCCTTGACTGTACACAGAAATAACCTGGAATTCTGCAGATGCTCCACCTCCAACCCCAGAGATTCTGAGTCGGTTGGTCTGGGTTGGAGTCCTTTCCTAGTCCTTTTTGGAGTCTCCTCTGGTGATTCTAATGTGTAAGGTAAGGCTGGGAGCAAACACACTAATTAGTTAACATTACAAAGTGCAAAGTGTGTGGCAGAGTGACTGAGGTATCTTCCATCTTGGATTTTAAAAAGGGAGAGAGTATGCATGCATGGGTAGGATTTTTCTGAAAGAATGCAGAGAAAACAGAATGGTGATCGCCTCTGAGGAGGGAGGCTGGGAACGAGAAGTCTGAGGTCAGAAAGAGACTTGCTTTTCATCCTGTAGCCTTTGGTACAGCTGGGGTGTTTTTAATCAAGAGCATGCATTACTTGTTTTATTCAACATTTCCGGCATTAAGAAAAATAGACAGAGAATAATACAACAAGACATCCATGTATCCTCAGCCCAGCTTAAGAAATAAAACATCACAAATATGTGAGGAGACCTCAAAACGCTCATGGAAAATGCATATTATGAAAAAACTATGAATGGATTTCAAAACTTTCGCACCTAAATAAACTCGTACTTTAATTCCATTTTTCTCAAACTTTTTGAAGTCCCCAAATTGATAGGTCCCTCCCTTACTTTTTTCCTCCCTCCTTCCCTGAAGTAATTGTCACTTTCTTTTGGCCTTAACCATTCTTTTATACACTTTTATTTTTTTACGGTGCTGTAAGGTGCATGCACTCACCAGAGAGAAACAGAGACAGAGAGAGAAAGTAAGAAATGACACCTCCCGCCCCAGGAGAGATGGCCATACTGCAATCCCTTCTCGTCCATTCTCCTCCCAGGATTTTCAGGTACACATGCACATACTCCTGGCATGTTTTGCAAGCCACCAGGTCCAGGACTCCAACCATGCAGTAGGTCATGAGGGATCCACTTTGCCAGGGGAGGGCCCCATTTTGCACACACTTTTACACTTCTCTTACATATCAACTTATTTTCATGTGTTTGAAATTAATTCATCTAGAATGTATTTATTTACTTAGTACCCTCCCATACAAATTACTTGGCAATTCAGATGTTTGGGTTGTTTTTTTTTTTAACTCTACGCTGTGGTTTTGAAATTTCATCATGTTGATACAAGACTTTTTCAATTTCAGGAGTTGATTTTTAGAAGGTTTTATTGACATATAATATTTATACATCTACTGTTTCTGAAAATGGGTTCAGACATCTAGAAGATTATTTTACTAGGACTGAAGTTGGGATATATGCAGTGCAGGAGCTGGGCAGTGGCACACTGGTAAAACATGGCCCACTACAAGGCAATCCCGCCTGGGAAGATTCCTAGTTCAAGTCTAGAGACCTCCCTGAATATGCAGGTTCACACTTGCCCATAATGTGGGGCTGGCTGAAGCTGGGGGTGGACAGTGGCATTAAGACTTCATTGGGGGTGCTGTCTTGCTCTCTTTCTCTGTCTCTGTTTCTCTCTCATGCGTGTGTGCTTATGGAAGAAATATATAAACAAACTTTAAAAAATAATAATGTGTGCTGTGTATATGTGACCCTGGGTGACATACCTTTTGTTTGAGCCCTACTGAGCACGTATGATGATGTGTGCTTTGTACATGCAAGTACACATGTGAGAGCGTGTGGACAGGCTTTGTGTGGATCAGATGATTGTTCAGCAAACCTTGTCTCCTTCCCCACTTTTCCCCGCCATGGAAGGAGACTGCCTCTTGCCCCATTGAAGTTGGGCTTGCTCCTGTGACTACCCTCAGCCATTGGAATGTAGCAGAAGTGACAGTCCACCACTTTCCAGCCTAGTGTGCCCCTTCCTTGTCTAGAGTTGTAACCCATCGTAGTGAGAAGAAAAAGCTTCAGGTAGCCTGGGTCCCAGAGACAGACTTACAGAACTTGGCTGCCCCAGTGACCCACAGACCAGGCAGCATGAAATTAATGCCCATTATTATATACCTGTGGGATTGCCTGGGTTTCTTATGTAGCAAAAATGACTAAGGTGGACTTGTCTTACATGTTCTTGATCTAGACAGTCTATAACTCATGGACAGTTATTCCAACTAAAATGCTGGGTCCAGAATTAATACTCAAGGAAGATTAGGTTTTGGCTTAAATGTGTTTGCATGTGTGATTGCACACACTGGGCATACGTGTCCATGTGCACCTGGCTCTGGTGTTGTGTAACACACTGAGCAAGCATGCATGTGAGATGCACATAGATGGCAGAGCAGTAGCTAAATGACAGCTCCCAGGCTGCACACAGCTGCCAGGAAGGCTACATGGAAGACCCAGAATTCACCTAGCTGCTGCCTCACTCCCCTTTCCTGAACTGTAGGCAACCTGGAAGAAACTGTAGAAACATCTGAGCCCTCTGAGGCAGAAAAGAAGCTTCTAGAGCCTTGGAGCAGCAAACCGAGTGGGGGATAACTAGCCCTGCTTCTGCTGAGGAGTGGAAGGACCGTATTCCTGACATCATCTAAGTGCTTAGATCCAGCTGCACCTGACATTTTCTGTTACATTCCATTTCCGAACTCAATAAAGCACACACCCCTTCTTTTTTTTCAGTTTCAGTTTAATTACTGAGTTTCTGTCATTTACATCACAGTCTTTCCTTCCAGCCCGTCCATGAGGGAGGGAAAATGCTGTCGTTTTTTCCTTTTAACTTTTGATACCAGTTTTCTCATGCAACAATACAAAAGTTCCTCGTGAACTTGGCAGAATAATATAAGCAAGGACCCAGAACCCACTCAGGACTTACACAGACCACGAGTGCCCACGATGAAGTGCATCGCACTATCCTCGGTGACACTTCTAAAGGAGGACTGCCTAATTAGTGAGGACTCCTCTCTAGGACCAAAGCAAACCACGCTGGTCAACAAGCCCCTACCCCGTATCTCTTTGATATTATTTTCCATGAGAGCAGGAACCACGTCTGTCCGAGCCACTGTGTCTCCAGTCCTAGTGCTCACCTCCTCAGGACTCCGTGCCAGGCACTGCCATCAGTCCTTTACGTGTAGTAACTCATCTCACCACAACTGCCCTCTGGGAACCACTACTGTCCCCATTCTATGGATGCAAAAATTGAACTGCAAAATGATCAAGTAAGTTTTCCAGGCTACACACAAAGTAAAGGATAGAAGCAAAATTTTAACCCACAGACTCTGACTTCTGAGTCCATGTTCTTAACCTCTACATAAAGTGCCGGTGCTTGGGACACAGTAGTTACTTTAGAAACATTTCTTTTCTAACCAGTGACTCCTGACAAGTCCTATTCAAATATCTCACTTAACCTCAGAGAACCCCACAGGGGAAAGGACCGCTCTGTTTTTCCCCAGGGAGCTCTCGCTCATCTGGAGTGAAAGGGCCCCTACCATCATCATCATCATCGTCGTCATTATTATTTCATAACAAAAGTAATAACAACGAGAAACAGGAACTCTCGTTCACTGCAGGTAGGAATGAAGGTGATGCATACAGCCACTTGAAAAGCCAGTTCGGTGTTTTTTTACAAAACTCAATACGCTTTCACCATATGATCCAGCAATGGTACACTACAGTGTTTACCCAAAGGAGTTGAAAAACTTATGTCCACTTATGCCTGCATACAGATGTTAATATTCATCATTTGCCACACTTAGAAGCAACCAAGATGCCCTTCGGTTGGTGAATGGTTAATAAACTGTGGTACATCTAACAAAGGAATGTTATTTGGTGCTAATAAAAGAAAGAAAGAAAGAAAGAAAGAAAGAAAGAAAGAAAGAAAGAAAGAAAGAAAGAAAGGAAGGAAGGAAGGAAGGAAGGAAGGAAGGAAGGAAGACAATGAGCTAGCAAGCCATGCAAAGACATGGAGAAAAGTTAAAAGCATGTTACTTAGTGGAAGAAGCTACGGCACTGTGCAAAACTATCAGTGGTTCCCGGGGTAATTAGGTGTGAGGAATGACTAGGCAAAGCACAGAGGGTTTGTTAGGGCAGTGAAACTACGCTGTCTGAAACTATCATGGCGCCTTTGCGTCATTCTGACTCTGTCCAAACCCACAGAATGTACAATAGCAGGGTGAACCTTGCTGATACCTACTTTGACGGATACTGACAACATAATGACAATAGTGTAGGTTCATCGGGTGTAATAAATGTACCACTCGGTGTGTGTGTGTATGGAGGAGGGTATTGAAAATGAGGAGGCTATGTGTATTTGGGGGCAGGGAGACTATGGAAAATCTCTGTATCCTCCTCTCAACATTGAACCTAACACTACTCCAAAGAATAGTCTTCAGAGCTGGCTCCAAAACACAGCAGCTAAGCCCTGCACGGAGGAAGCTGGAGTCCACATGGCCAACCGGGGTTCCAGACTCAGCCCAGGTGACTTAAAAACCACACTGGACACATGCACACACGTGCCCAGGATCTCTACAGGATGAAGGAATTGGAGGAAGAAGGATTATTACAACGTGACTGGGCCCCTTTGGTGTCTGTCTCTCTCTTTCTCTCTCTTGTATATGTACACATGTGCCTGCTGGCATTAAAAAAAAAAATCAGCCTTTTAAACAGCAATAAAACCACCACTTTGCATTTTAAAGTACCATCTATTCAAAACCCTTCTCCCTTCATGGGCCAAGGTGGCTTGGAGACAACCGTGTGAGACCTGCAGGTCAGCTGCCATTGGGCCACTTTATAGGGAACCTGAAGCCAAAAGAAGGTCACGTTTCCAGACTGAGCGTGAGCATTTGCTATTGACTTGCCCTGTCTAGAGGCCAAGAAAACCGAGGCTGGTGCCCCTCCACCCAGCACACTGCACCCCAAGGCCTGACCTCTCCTCACCCACACTGCTCCAGGAGCCTGAGCCGCACTGCAGCCTTCTGCGGGGGGCTGAGGTCTGGGCAGTCTTTGAGGCCATGGAGAGCAGTAGCCCAGGCCCTGGGGGAGATCCCTCTGCTGATGACGGCCGCCGGCAAGTGACACAGTAAGTTCCCCACGATGTCCACAGTGTACTCATCAGCAATGGAGTCATCCTGAAACCAACAGGTAGAGTCAGTGAGAAGACCCAGCGGGGCACAAGACCACGGTCCCTTAAAACTACTTCCCAACCCCAAACCTCTTCAAGATTCCAGGTGTGAATCTCCCACCTCATCACGAACTTCTAGAGACCGGGCAGGGCCTGGATCACCCAGGGGTGCAGGCCACAGGAGTCTGGAGACCCTGAGCTGGCACATCGTGAGCACTCAGTAGGGGGGCTGTTGTACTTACTGTGTGTGGGATCCTCTGGAGCTCAAAAACCCTCATGATAATAGTATAACAACAGTGAAGACAGCGCTTCACAGTCAGTATAGCACTCAAAAGCCTTCAAAGCTCTCCTCAAAATAACAGAATGACCTAACATTTATTGTGGCTGACTATGTGCCAGGCACTACTCTTTTTTTTTTTAATGACAGAGAGCATGTGCACATGTGAGAGAGAAGGAAAAAGAGAGAACCCCACACACAGGTCCGGTCACACTGCAATCCTCTTCTCTTCATTTCTTCATGACGTCAGGATCCTGGGCTCGTGAATATCACCTGAATGTTAGCCAAGGCCCCAGGGCCAGGATTTGAACTGTGGTGGGCCACGTGGGACCTGGATCCCTCTCCCTCTGTACAGTGCCTTAGCCACTGTACTATGAAAACGGGCTCCAGGCACTGTTTTATGTGTCCACAGATCTTAATCCAGTCATCTCCAAGGTAATCATAAGAGGTAAGTACTAATGCTATCCACTTTTTTTTGGGGGGGGGACGTAGAGGTTTTGGCCTTAGGGCATGTGCGCTCGTGGGAGGACACAGATAAGACAGTGAGAGGGACAGTGAGAAATCACTCCCTGGAGGGCGGGGGGGTTTAACCACACCACAATCCCTTCTCCTCCAGGATCTTGGGCACACACACACTTGTGCCCAGCATGAGTTTCAAGCCACCAGGTCCAGGATCCAAACTGTGGTTGGCCATGTGGGAGTCCAGTGACGCAGCCTCTATGCTATTTGCTGGGCTCTACTATCCACTTTTTAAAGACAAAGTAACTGTCAGTTAGTGGCAAGCCTGGGATGCACATCAACAGTCTGACCTGTGAGCCTTGCATTGAACACACATTGCCCGTGTCATGCCCTCAACAGCTCTCAGAAGGACGTGCTACTGAACCCACCTTACAGATGAGAGGACTGAGACTCAAGGAGGGGAAGGGAGTTGCTCAAAGCCACATAAGCTATCACTGACAGAAGCATGTCTAGAACCCAGACTCTGCACTGTGTTTTCTCCAGTTCTCCCCAGTGGCCTCCCCTCCGTCAGGCCCTGGGACAGGAGTCTCCAGAACCAATGGCCAAGACTATTCTAGGGCAGCTTTGAGACCTACAGCTCAGACTTCCAGCTATCACAGCAGGTTGAAGACCCCAATCAGATCCTTTTGAGGGCACCCAGGAGAACCCCAGACACCAGAGGAGAAAAGAACACCAGTGAAAGCACCCCCAGGAAGAGTTTTCTTACCAGGCACTGCTGTACTTTCCTGAGGACTGAATTCTTTTTGTGGAAATCTAAAGCCAAGGAGTCCAACTGAGTCTTCCCCAGGCTGATCAGAAAGGGCACACACTGGGAGGTGGGGACAGAAGCCAAGTAGCGGGCCCTGGAGAGAGGCAGGGAGAATAAGAGGAAGAAACAGTGGCTGATGGGACCCACGTGACCAAGAACTCATTACAGGGATTGTCTTTAAATGTTTGTCTTCCCCAGTGATGCTGTGGCTCCTTGTGGTAGGTAGCAAGCTCCCACCCAACATGCTTCTCTTCTGAGGGCAGGAAACAAACTTCCCATCATGCTCCTCTTTAACAGGTGGTGTTATGGTTTGGATAATGGTTTGTCCCCCAGAGGTTCATGTTGAAGGATGTGGTCCTCAGTGTGATGGTGTTAGAAGATGGTGGTGGGACCAGCAGTTAGTGTAATGGCTATGTCACTGAACTCCCATGTAGCCAACCATGGTACGAGTCTCGGACCCAGTGGCTTAAACTCACGCCAGGCGCGTGTCCAAGATCCCGAGAATGGAGGAGAAGGGATTGCGGCGTGGCCATTCCCCTCCCTCAGGGGGGGTGATTTCTCACTTTCTATCTCTCTGTCTCTCTCTTTCTGGCAAGTGCACATGTCCTATAGAAAAAACCCCTCAAAAAAAAAAAAAAAAGAAGATGGCGGTGCCTAGTGGGTGGTGATTGGATCATGGTGGCACCTGCCTTATACATGGATTAGTGCTGTCTTGTAGGAGACCAAGTTCTAGCACTGTGACAAGGGGTTCATTCTCCCGAGAGCAGGCTGTGATCAAAGGAAGATGGCTGCCCCCAGGTTGCTCTCTCTGCATGTGCCTTCTATCCTCTCCGCTTCTGTCAGCCATGATGCTAGCCTCATGCCTCCTTGGACTTTCCAGCCACTGGAATCTAAGTCAAATAAACCTCTATTCTTTATAAATCACCCAGGCTCAGATATTTCTGTAAGCAAGATAATAACACCTAAGACAGTTGGGAAACAGATTTCCCATCATGCTCCTCTCCTATACACTAGCAGCATTGGTCAGAGAATGCGTTTTCCCTAAACATACGCTCACTGATGTACTGGCTAAAGGGTGTTGAGAAAAAGTAGAAAAAGAAATAGGCACGGATTTTTATTGAGAATGATGGGAAAGGAAAGTATTGCCCTTTGTCCTGACTATGAGACTGGGAAAATATTACCTTGGATCTGGCAGGGCCCACCACCACAGATAGAACTTGCCTGCCAAGTAAAGCCAAGAGATGATTTGAACCCCTGGATCTAACCCTTGCCAGAATTCCAATCCTGGATTTTCCAGTTATCTGAACCAAGAATTCCCAAATATTGCCTAAGCCAGTCTGAGTTTAGTTTCTGTCATTTTCTTTCTTTTTTTTTTTTTTGAGAGGTTTTTGCTATAGGGTGTGTGCGCTTGCCAGAAAGACAGAGAGAGACAGAGAGATAGAAGCAAGAAATCACCCCCCGGGGGGGGATGGCCATGCAGCAATCCCTTCTTCTCCATTCTCCTCTTGGGATCTTGGGCACACACGCACACACACCTGGCGTGAATTTAAGCCACTGGGTCCGGGACTCGAACTGTGGTCGACTACATGGGAGTTCAGTGACAGAGTCATTACGCTAACTGCTGATCCCTAGTTTCTGTCATTTTCAACCAAGTATCAACTAGTTATTAATAATTAACCTCATGCTTGTCTATTTCCCTCTATGGGATGGTAAGCTCTTGTAAGGGGAAATTTTTGACCGTCTTTGAGAACGGCACATAGCAAGTACTCTGTAAGTTCACTGTTTAAGTGAATGAAGACATTAACAGCAAAAGAGGGTAGAGGGCAATAAAGAAGGAGCAAAGGAGAGAAAGTGCCAGGCAGTGCGTGAAGCAGGACTTCCCATAGGCCCGAATGACCACATATACCAGGGGCGATCGCCCACCACTCACATCAGGCCTGATTCCCGCAGAGCCCAGGCACAGCCGCACGGCAGCTGGAACCTGCTTCATTGGTACTCCAGGCTTGGGATGCTTTGGTTTTGATTTTTAAACAACACGAAAAAGCAAGAGGCTCTGTCTGAAATATCCATGTGAGGCTCAGAGTTCAATTCCTGGTTCTCAAGGGCTTAACTGTCTAGGGCAATCTCCACTCCGCCTCTGACTCCTCAAGAAAACCCAGGGGGACAGAATCACTTTGGCTTGGGTGATTCCCACCAACCTTACTGCTGAGCCAGAAAGAGGGACCAGTGTTCACTTACGGGAGTGCAACCAACAGGAAAGGCGGCATAGACGATCTGGAAACTTCCCAATATTTCCACGCCAAACAATTAACCTGAAAGAGTCAGCGGTTCTAGGAATTGAGTCCATAACAATAAGAGCAAACACAGACAGTGCTTTCTATATCACTATGTAACAGAACACCCTGTGACGCAGGCACCACGGTGGTGCTCACTTTCTGAGTGAGGAAACTGAGGCAATAACAAACCAACACAAGAACTGATGTGTGAGAATGCCCATCGTGATTTTGTTCATAACTACAAGAAAGCGATGGCCCTGAATAGGAGATTGGTTAAGTAAATTATGGTATATTCATACATGGAATACTATGCAACCTGTTTGTTTCAAGGAGGTAGATTGTTATACATTAATATTAAACAATGTCTATGCACATAAGTATAATTAAACAGAATAGTATACGTGGTGTGAGCTCATTTGTGGTTTTTCACATTCCATGTAAATATGCTTTATGTATACAAAAAACTCCTCAAGTCAATAGCCACCTCTTCCTGTCATTACCTCTGCAACCGGTTGCTCAACCTCACTGTTATTGACTCCATGAGCCAGATAACGCTGCTCCCTGTGCATGTAAGACATTGAGGAGCACCGCTAGCTTCTACCCACTAGGTGCTAGTACCACTCCCCAAGTCGTAACCACCAGAAGTTATCTCTAGATGTGACCAAAATCCTCCAGGGGGCAAAATGGTACCCTGCTGGTATACTACTCTAGGAAAACTTGAGGAAATTTTTACTTTCTTTGTATTTTTTTAATAATAATTATGTGTTCTCATTAATCATGCACACAATAAAGGAAAATTTTCTAATTAATTGGTATTTAACGATTCTGAGAATTAGGAGTCTAGGGAAGCCCCTTGTGGGGGAGGGATTCTTTCTGCTCGAATATGTAGGTCTTCCTCCATGGAGGTCTGACTTCCATCCATTCGCTCAGTTATTGGCTTCCCTCCCTGGTCAGGACGTTTAATATAATTTAATGACCCTCACCAGGAACTGATTAGACATTCAGATTTTCAACCCTCCCCCTAGACCTACTATGGGACATTCTGGGAATGGGCCCCTCAGTTTGTGTTTTAACAGGCCTTCCAAGCAATGCTGATGCAAAGCCAAATTTGAGAACCGCTGATAGAATAAACAGTCCAAGGGAATGACAGGGCTTTACTAAAACTTTGCATGTTCTTCATTGAAACTTGGTGTGATCCCAAAGCTCATACACCAAGCTTTATGTTTCCTAGTTCTTGGGATGAGAATTCACTGTTGGAATGTTTTTATTTGGGTCTGAAATACAGCAAGGTTAGAGTTGAGAAGATGCTTTGGCACCACTCACACACCCTCTTTGGTCTCCGTAAGCCAGCAGTTCAAAATCCAAACACTGTGAGGCCCATTTTTACTAGCTTAGATACTATGAAAGTCAGCTATTACCTCTAATCTCCCCAAAGAGTTAAAGAGTCTCCATAACCATTCAGAAAATGAAGTTTTAAATGAAGAAGAAAATACTCTTACTATTCCCACTGAATAGTAGATGAGGGACTACCTTCAGTACCAGGAAAACGTAATCATGAACATGCAAAAGAGTATACTTTACAAACAGCCTTTAAGGTTCAAATTTGAATATGGAATAACCAATGTGTTGAAACCTGGGCTGTAGAAATGCAGGTGCTTAGAAGTTATTAAGAAACTGTAGAAAACCTGGCTCAATATTTGGCTTCAAGTCATCACTCGCATCTGAATAATTCTGACAAAATTATCTTTCGATGCCACAGTGGGTCCAGGCCCAGTGACTAGAGTAGGGAGAGAGAATTAGGAGAGAACTGTTCTGAGGGTACCTGATACGGTGAAAGCAAGGAGAAGTTGTTCTCGAAATGCTGGAAATGGGCCAGAAAAGAGTCAGGGCTCATGGCATCAATGTGCAAGCACGTCACACCTTTGACCAGCTGCCCAGCACTAAAAAACACAACAAGGGAACCGGGAGAGGAAAAGGGTGGGGAAGAGAGAGGAAAGAAGAGCAAAAGAAGGCAGATTTGGTCTGACCCAGATTATAGACCTGACTGTCCAACAATCCCTCCAGGGAAACTGGCCTCCTCTGGCAGAAGCCCCCTCTTCAGCACCCAGGATGTGTTATGGGCTCCTACCTCAGGAGCTCCTCGGGCCTTCTGGTCGACTTGAACAGAAGCTCATACAGGAACAAGGCCTGAGGGGAGAATGATTGATGGTGCTGATGGAGTCTACATTGTATGTCCTGCACAGTAGGTCCTGTAGAGAAGACACCCTATAATTCCATTTTACAGATGGGGAAATGGCAGCTTAACAGGCTGCTTCTTTCCCAGGACCACACCATTGCTACGTGGCCGCGCTGGAATCTGAACAGGTATCAGTAGTTCCAGAGACCCTGCTTTTAGACTCTGGGCAATTCTCTGTGCTCCAAGAGGCCAAAGAGGCCAAGTTATCCAGCAGCAGGGCTGGATTTTTAGTTCTTGTGTTTTATAAGCCCACTGAGGAGCTGAGGGCTCTCTGCAGCCCCTATTAACATGCCCACCTGCCGGTTCCTACACTCACAGCATCCCCTGAAGCAAAAGGAGAGGGATGGATGACTAGATCAGGACTGGCTTGAAAAGCACCATCAATAAAGCAACTGGGCTCGTGCACACACTCCCCTCAAACTCTCCCAGATGAGCACTCGGGGAGAACAATACATAGTAGGCAGGGGAGTCATTTGTTTTAAAGAACATAATTTTACAGAATACCTAACTTGCAGATGCGATCAAGTACGACATTCATCTAGTTTATAGACTCTGAAACTTCTAACATAATTCCCCAAACAGAATAAATTATGAGCTAGCATTAGATGGAGGCATCTATGACGACGCAGCTGAGGGCCTGAAAGCAGCAGAAAAGTCCAGGTGGAAGGAACAGGGTGGAGGGGTGTTCTGGATGCTCTGGGTGTAGCCCCAGAGATTTCCACGGCACTCTGGGATCCTCCCATAGTCCTTCCCAACTCAGGAAATGGCAACTCCATTGGCTCAGCTGCTGCAACAAAAGGATCTTGAAATCATTTCTGGCAGGACCCATTTTCCAATAAGAGGATTGCTACTACCACCATCTTTGCAGGTGGTTTGTTACACAGTTACAGAGCATGCAAACACCATCCAGCCTCACAAGTGGCTACGCGAGAACCCCCAGAATACACAGAGATCGGCATCTGTCCCGTTCACTCCTGCATTGCCAACACTGTGAGCAGCACCTGCCCGTGGTCAGTAGGTGCTCGATAAACACGTGAGGAATGAAGGTGATGAAGGCTACTAAACAGAAAGGATGTTGGGGATGTTCTAAGGCACCTCATCAGCTGCAATAGCACCGTCTTCCTGAGCAGCCTCAGTGCTGGCAGCATTTAATAATACGTGTGAGGGGACAGCAGATGATGTGGTGATTAAGGCGCTGGACTCCCACATGGCCACCCACAGTTCGAGTCCCAGATCTGGAGGCTTACTTTCTCACTTACTTTCTCTCTCTCTCTCTTTCTCTCTCTCTCTCTCTCCTTCTCTCTCTCTCTCTCATGAGTGCACGTGCCCTGTAGCCAACTTAAAAATAATAATAATTATAAACTAAATTAAATTAATAATTCTGTATTTAAAAAGAAGACACGTGATGGGGCCAGACGGTGCAGTGATGCAGTGACGGGATGTCTGAAATTCTGGTCCCAGCCGGGAAGGTCACAGGTTTATGTCCTTTGACCTCCGGGTGCACTCCAAGTTGGCACACACACGTACGTGTGATTCAGGTTAGCTGAGGCTGGGGGTGGAGCACGGCATGAAGGCCCTGTTGGGGTGCCTCTTTCCTCTCTCTCTCTCTTTCTCTCTCTCTCTCTGTCTCCCTCTTAAGAAAATAACTTCAGGGACCAGCAGTTAGCGTAATGGCTATGTTGCTGGACTCCCACGTAGTTGACCACGGTTTGCATCCCAGACCCGGTAGCTTAAAACTCACGCTGGGCGCATGTGCGTGCGTGCCCAAGATCCCGAGAGGAGAATGGAGGAGAAGGGATTGCGGCGTGACCATCCCCCCTGGGGGGGTGATTTCTCGCTTTCTGTCTCTCTGTCTCTCTCTGTCTGTCTGGCGAGTGCACGTGCCCTATAGCAAAAACCTCTCCAAAAAAAAAAAAGAAAAGAAAAGAAATAAACTTCAAATTAAATAAAAGATATATTTCTAATAATAGCACATGTAATCACTGCCGTTGTGTATAGCATATTACCTGTGCATCACTGATCCTTCCAAGACATTATTCCCATTTTGCACATGAGAAAATTGAGGCCAGTTAAGAAGAAATTGTTTCCTCAAAGCAAATAAATAAGTAGATACGTAAGCGGGAGCCCACATTCAGGTTCAGGTCTCACCTAACTCCCTAACACCTTAACAGTGCTATCCTGCCTCCTGGGTTGAATTACACAAAAATACATTCATTTTTACCAAATTTGCCTTAAAACAGACCATTCCCACCAGTCACTGGCTGGAAATACAGGCTCAATTTGTGAGCATCATGGTCGTACCTGACTTCTCCGAAGCTCCTTTTCTTTCAGGACTGTAGAGTTGAAGCCAGGTTCCCTCCATAAATCAAAGAGAGACACTTCCCTAAAGAACGCCCCCTGTATCTCCACAATGCCTGGGGCAGTACCTCCTGCTTCCATCAGCTGCAGAAAGGAAGAGGAACCAAGAACAACCTTGTAAAAGGTCATCAGCTTTAGCAAAGGCCAGAGACTGCTTCTCGGGCACCAACATCACCAGATCTGCTTGGCAATCCTGTGAAGGAGGGCATATCATTCTCCCCGTCTCACAGGGAGGGAAACAGACTTCAAGCCTGCTTAGCTGAAAGCTGCTTAGTGAACTTCAAGCCCACGTCAGTCTTACTCCAACACCCGCACTCTTTATTTGAACCGTATCGCCTACTGCTATCTGTAAGGTGCTGGCGGTTTATGTAACACCCTGGATTTGGTTCCTTAACTGATTTTGTCGAACATAATGGGTCAGATAGAGTTGGACCCCCAAAAGACCCACTGCCAGGTGAAAAAGTAATACAGGCATGACTCTGGACCATGGAAGGGTCTTTCAGAAACATTCTGCAAACATCAGGACTCGTTTTTAAACTTGAAAAACAAACATTATTAGATCAAGAAACTTGGTTTGAAAAAGTCTTCCCAGATCAGACAGGCTACTGAGAACAGTAAGGTCTGGAAAGAATTACGATAGCATGACCAAAGTAGCTCGTTCTAGAAAGGAGAGAAAGTGAGCCACCAGGAGAAGGCTTTTTCCAGGCTCACAGCAACGCCACACCCCAAAGGCTGAGATAACCCTAGCTCTAATGGCCAAAAGTCACAGCCCACACCCAACGCCATCCTCTGTGAGCCACGCATCTGTGGACCAGATGTATCTCTCACCTTGCTGAGGACACCCTGCTGCTGGGCAGGGGACAAGTCGGACATGTGCTGGGAGACGGTGCTTCTCAGGACCTGCACGAGGTCCTTGCGGTCCATGCTGTAGAAGGCCTGGGTGCCCACCCCCGCCAGCAGCACGCCCATCTGGCTGACATTGTAGAAGGATGGAACCTGGAGAGAACCGACCGCCAGGTGAGGCTCTGCTCTGCCTTCCCCTCTCTGACACTGACCGGCTCGTCTGTGTGCCAGGTGTCAAAGCAGGCGACGCCTTAGGGACACAGTGGTGAGCAAGACAGAAGCCGCTCTCAAGACCTTCCTTCTTCCTATCAGGAAACAGAATTAAATAAGCATATCCAGGCTCAAGTCTCATGGTAAACGCTCCACTGGGGTAATTACAGTGCTGTCTGACATCACAGTACTAACATCAAAAAGTTTAGGGAACCAGCAGTTAGCATAATGGCTATGTCACTAGACTCCCATGTAGTCGACCACGGTTCGCGTCCCAGACCCGGTGGCTTAAAACTCATGCCGGGCACGTGTGCGTGCGTGCCCAAGATCCCAAGAGGAGAATGGAGGAGAAGGGATTGCGGCATGACCATCCCCCCTGGGGGGTGATTTCTCGCTTTCTGTTTCTATGTCTCCCTCTGTCTGTCTGGTGAGCACACGTGCCCTATAGCAAAAACCTCTCCAAAAAAAAAAAAAAAGTTTATAGCATACTCAAAACAAATGTACTCCATTGAGGGACTTAGTCAACCATCCCATCCCATGTATACGATAAAATACTCTGCACTTTTTTGAGGTGATTATTTCTGTTTTTAGACTGACAGGAACATTGACAAATCTGATCTTGTAGGAGAAGCTGGTATTGGCCTGAAGTAAAGAGATTATAAGAAAATATCTGTCCCTTCTATTGTGATTATATATTAAATAACTAGTAATCCTAGAAAAATAAGTTTTGCCTTAAACCTAGACCCCAGGAGTTACAGTGTAGTTAAATCACCACGTATTTATGAGAACTTGAGAACTTTCAGAGCTTCTTGGTAGAGTGAGGATTTGAACCCAGGTACTCTGCACGACCTTCTTACTGATTGGTTACCCTTGGCTGTTATGGATGGAATGGTTGTGTCCCTCCCCCCCCCAATTCTTATGTTTAAGCCATGTGTTAAGCCATTCTCTGTTGAGTAGTAACTGAAATACCTGAGTTTGGGTCATTTATAATGAATAGGAGTTTACTTGGGTCACCGTTTTGGAGGTCCAAGATCAAGGGGCTCCTTTGGTGAGGCTCTTCTTGTCCCGAGGTGGCAAGGCCATCGCACGTGGTAAGAGAAGAGCAAGAGTGTGCATTCTGTGTGCGGGTGTCTCCGAGTCTCTCATAGACCCCTGAGCATCCAGTCACAGGGACCCCACCCTGATGCCTAGTCATTTCCCAGAGGCTCCACCGTTCCACACCATAATCGGATTAGCCATTCATCTCTACCATCTTTATCCCATTGTAATGACTCATCAAATTTTAATACATAAATTTTAGGGGAACACATTCAAACCAGGACAAGTCCTAACCCCTCAATGTGATGGTATTTAGAGATGGGACCTCTGGGAGGTAATTAGGGGTAGGTGAGGTCATGAGATAATTGGAGTTAGGTGGTGCCCTGACCCAGCGGGATTCATGCTTTTTTAAGAAGAAACGCCTGGGAACTTGCTCACACAGCGGTCATGTGAGCACACAGCAAGATGGCAGCTGCCCACAAGCCAAACGAAGAGGCCTTAGAAGAAAACCTACCCTGTCAGCAATTTATCTCAGACTTCCCAGCTTCCAGAACTACGAGAGATAAATGTCTATTGTTAAGCCCTGTGCTCCATGGTATTTTGTTATGGAAGCCCAACCAGACTGAGACATTGCCCTTGGGTCTCAAGATGTTAAAGAAGGGGGGGGGTCAACAGATGGCATGGTGGTTAAAGCACTGGAATCCCATATGATTGACTGCAGTTTGAATCCCGGACATGATGGTTTGCTTTCTCACTCTCTCTTTCTTTCTCTCTCTGGTCAAATTGAGTAATAATAATAATAATTAATAAAATTAAATTAAATAATTCTTTAAAAAAAGAGTTTATTATTTAAAAAAAAAAAAGATGTTATAGAAGAGTTAAAAGCTCCAACAGACCTTCTCATGGGCCAAGTACTTGGCAGACAAGATGTTGACTTGGCTCTTGGCCCAGCCTGAGACCTGGTTGAGAGTAGAGATGGCGCCATGCACAGCCTCAGGGGAGAGGGATTCCAACTGACTGTGGGTCAAACCGACAACTGCATCGGACAACGAGCCCAGAGTCTCATTGAGGGTCTGGTTCTCTGTGGCGATGTCCAGGAGGTCAGCTTTGAGCTAGAAGGAGAACAAACAAAAACAAGCATTGACAGAAAGCAGGGCAGTGGCTCCCTCCTGACTGCATCCTGGAATGTGAAGATGCTACAACAGCCTCCCCCAGCTCGGCTCAGCAAAGCCTCTGAGCCCAGGAGGACAAGGGTTTCCCTCCATGCCCAGACACTGGTCATCCCACTGAAAACTCCTCCTTGGGCATTGGCTTTCATGTGTACCATCCACTTCGCACTTCATTTAAATATTAATCTGCTATTAAATCAGCCTTAAAGCATGGCAGAGGGAAATTTTGTTCACTTACAATTCCACTATACTCTTGTAGCATCTATTCTCTTAGTGACCTTGAACTCTATATCCATATACATGGCTGCTTTTCTTTAGTGAAATATCCAGGGGCTTTTATTATGATAATATGTCATCTGTGTAAAAATAAGTCTCAACAGGACAAGAATGTAAAAGTCTCCCAAAAATCCTGCCTCACAAAAATAACTCATTAGTAATTGGGTATTCACGTTTCCAAGATTTCTTATGCCTTTATAAATGTACAGGCAGGATGTGGTTTTCGTGGAGTTGTAATATGAATGAGAGCACAAGTTCCCATTCTATAATTGCCATTTGAAATTATGTCTGGTACATATTTCACATGTCCGTGATCGCTTTCATAATTATTGTATCGCAAAATGCCTGTCTAGTTATACTCAAGTGCGTTTCCCAACTGCTTCTGGTAAGGAAGGTGATAAACTCCCCAACTGTAAGACAGCCTCTGTAGAAAAGAAGAAAATGAGAACGGTTTGTGCTTTAACACTTGAATTGGTATGAAAAATATATTCACTTAACACGGTGCACACAAGCAATATTGAAACAGCCACTAGAGGGCAGCAGAGTGAAGTAGAAGAAACAGCTGTCCCAGCACCTGGGTTCTCTTCACTCAGCAACTCCCTTCCCTGGAGCTCAGTTTCCACCTGTGCAAAACCAAAGGGCGTGCCAGAGGAGTGGTTCTCACCGTGTGGCCCTCAACTAGCAGCAGCAGCAGCACCTGGGAGCTGGTGAGAGCTGGCAGGTGGTGTGGTGTTTAAGGTGCTGGACTTTAATGTGGCTGAAGCAGTCTGAGTCCCAGACCTGAAGCCTTGCTTTCTCACTTTTCCCCTCTCTCTGGTCACATTAAAAATAATAATAAATGTAATATTTTTAAAAAGAAATGCAAATTTTCAGGCCCCAGCCTCTAAATTTATAAAGGCATAAGAAATCTTGGAAGCATTTATACCCAGTTGCTAGTAAGTTATTTTTGTGAATCAGAAACTAAACAAAGGGACTTCAAAAGTTTGTATAAAGAAGGCAGGACAGTGGTGCAATGGTAAAGCACGGTGCTCTTCGTGGCTGACCCTCTGGGAAGTTCCAGGTTCGAGTCTGGGTACCTTCCTGAGTACGCCAAGTTCTACAGGCTCATGATTGAGGACTGGCTGAGGCCGGGAGTGGAACCCAGTGCCAGGATCCTGTTGGGGTACTATCCATCTGTCTCTCTCACGCATAGGAGAAATAAATAAGTATTTTTAAGTTTGTGGAAAAAGAGAATTAAAGTACAACATTATTTTAGTGCAAAAGCATTTTTAAATCCATATTTTTCTTTTTTTTAATTATTTACTTCTTTCTTTACTTATTACTTTACTCATTTCTTCCATAAGAGAGGGAGACAGAGAGAGAGAGGCCGAAACAGAGAGAGAGAGAGAGACAGCACCCCAACCAGGTCTTGACATTGCAATCCTAGCCCTCGCCCTCAGCTTCAGCCAGCCTGGATCACGGGCACGCGCATGCCCAGCATGCAAAGGGAGACCTCAGCAGCGAACCTGGGACCTTCCTCATGGCCTTACCATCAGAGAGCATTGCGTTACCACGGTGCCACCATGGCCAGCCCTCAGCGACTGCACTTTAACAAGCTTTCTCATAAGTCTGATGCATCCTCACGTAGAGAACCACCGAGCAAGATGATCCCAAAGGGCTTCCTCTAATTGTATCTGATTTCCTTCTTGGTCAGGGCTGCCACATCTACCCCTGTGGCCTCAAAATACTTGTATTTTCTTATTGTTGCTTAGCTCACTTGGGAGGGATTCTTTTCCTTGAAAACAAAAACTAGGCATCGACCAAGATAGATGGCCATGATGTCCCATGGGATTGGGGACTTATGTGGTTATGTGTGGAAAACTGCTGTAGAATTTTTTTTTTTTTTTTTGGAGAGGTTTTCGCTATAGGGCGCGTGCACTTGCCAGACAGACAGAGACATAGAGACAGAAAGCAAGAAATCACCCCCCAGGGGGGATGGCCATGCCTCAATCCCTTCTCCTCCATTCTCCTCTCGGGATCTTGGGCACGCACGCACACGCACCTGGCGTGAGTTTTAAGTCACCGGGTTTGGGACGCAAACCACGGTCGACTACATGGGAGTCCAGCGACATAGCCATTATGCTAACTGCTGGTTCCCCTGCTGTAGAATTATTAATGGCTTTATCAAAATTTTCTTTACTATTGCTCTCGCATCATCTTCATTTTTTGAAGCTTATTTATTTCTTTCATGAGAGTAAGAGAGGCAGGTATGGCCATGCCACACACCTCAAGAGGGTTTCACGCTCCTATCCGCCTTCCCTTCCAGCCAGCTAGGGTCATGGGCATGTGAGCCTGGTGTGTACAGGTTTACTGGGGAGCAGAACCTGGAGCTACACGAATCCAGCATTACTCGAGCAGCAGGTTACCACCATGCCACCAGGCCAGCTCTTTTGTTGTTCTTTTGGTTTTGGTGATTTTTTTGTGGGGGGGAGGGGGAGGTTTTATGTATATATGTAATTTATATATACTATGTATGTAATATATGTGTGTGTGTATATATATACTGTCTATATAAATATATTTGGTATATTTTAAAAGCTATATATATTATATATACTATATATACATAATATATACACTATATATATAGTAATAAAAATATATTGGCTATATTTCAAAAGTATATACTATATATATTTATATATAAGTATATACAGCATATTTCAAAAATATATACTATATATATAGTCTATGTGTGTGTACTTGCTATGTCTCAAGTCTCCTGCCTCAGTCCCCAGATAGCTGGGACTACAGGCAGGTGCCACACTCAGCCTTTAGGGTGGACCGGAGGCAAACTCAGAGGTCCGGCGCAGCTCAGCCTGCGGGTAGCGGAAACAAGCACGGGCTAGTGCAGCTGGGCTGTGTCATCTTTCCAGCTGAAAACACTGAACAGGAGCAAGGGAGTGAAGGACAGCGGGGAAAACTGAGACTTGAATGGATAGCTGGGACTACAGGCAGGTGCCACACTCAGCCTTTAGGGTGGACCGGAGGCAAACTCAGAGGTCCGGCGCAGCTCAGCCTGCGGGTAGCGGAAACAAGCACGGGCTAGTGCAGCTGGGCTGTGTCATCTTTCCAGCTGAAAACACTGAACAGGAGCAAGGGAGTGAAGGACAGCGGGGAAAACTGAGACTTGAATGAAAGAAAAAGAGAGGTGGACGAGGGAGGGGAAAGTGAGAGAGAGCTTGCATTTGCTAATTTGATCAGAACTCTGGACCAGGAGCCCACACACACCCTCCAATCCTGGCTACGCTGTAATCACCTGAGGAGCTTTTAGACACATACCCAGTCCACATCCCCGATCAGCATCAGAACATCCCGGGGTAGAGCCTAGGTAGGGGCGTTACTAACGTGAGCGAGGCTTACAAACCATGGCTCTGTCTCCTGCTATCCCATGCCTGAACACTGGAGTGTCAGCTTCAGCATCACCTGAAGCTGCTGAAAAGCCCAGAGTCAGGGTGGCCCCATCGCCTAGTAGGTAAGGGAGCCAGATCCCACATGGCAGACCACGGTTCAAGTGCCAGCACCAGTGGTTTGAAAACACGCCAGGCACATGTGCATGTGCATGTGTATGCATGCCCCAAATCCTGAAAGGATGAGAAAATGGAAGAGACGGGATTTTGCGGTATGACCATGCTTCACTGGGGAGGTGCTTTCTCCCTCTCCCTCTCTCTCTTCTCCCTTTCTCTCTCCGATAATTTAAAGAAAAATAATAATAATACAGAGTCTATGGCCCCAATCCAGAGCCACTGACTCAGAATCTGCACTTACGATCCCAAGTGGGATCCAGCAGGTGGCATAATGGTTAAGGTGCTGGACTCACACGTGGTCAACTACAGTTCAAGTCTGGACTCAGTGACTTGAAAATCACGTTGGGCACATGTGCGTGAGTGCCCAAAATCCTGAGAGGAGAATGGAGGAGAAAGGACTGCAGCATGACCATATCCCTGGTGGCTGATCTCTCACTTTCTGTCTCTCCAGTGAGCATACACATCCTAGAGCAAAACATCTCTCTTAAGGGACCAGCAGTTAGCGTAATGGCTATGTTGCTGGACTCCCACGTAGTCGACTGCAGATCAAGTCCCCCACCCGGTGGCTTAAACTCACATCAGGCGTGTGTGCGTGCGTGCCCAAGATCTGAAGAGGAGAATGGAGGAGAAGGGATTGCGGCGTGGCCATCCCCCCTGTGGGGTGATTTCTCGCTTTCTGTCTCTCTGTCTCTCTCTGTCTGTCTGGTGAGCGCACGCGCCCTATAGCAAAAACCTCTCCAAAAAAAGGAAAAAAAATTTCTCTTAAAAAAAAAAAAAACAGAGGATCCATATGCACATTAAGTTTGAGATGCCTGCTCTGACTGAATTTCGATCTACCCACGCTTTTTCCTATGCTGTTTTGGTTATTTCCATGTTGAGCGCATCCCAGGATTAGAGATAACACCTGCTGTGGTCGGACTTAGGTCCTGACTGACACTATCTGCTCTCTCTCAAAGGCCAAGCAAGCCTGTTTCCCCCCCATTTATCTGGCTAGCGAAACTGAGGAAGAGGCATGGGGCCTTGCATCCCAACTGCACCTTCTGAACTCCAGCCTGGAAGCCCCTCAGGTGGCTGCACTTGATCATCTGATGAAGGAGGACTTGGGCCACCGCCGCGTCCAGCAGCTCCAGGTCATCGTAGAAACAAACCAGCAGCCCCAACCTGTGTGAGAGGAAGGGG